AGAGCATCCAGGTCCACCGCTTCCTTTTCCCTTCACCGGGTAGCTCTCACTGGAATCGGCTGCTCCTTCCACCGGAGCACTCGTCTCTGTAGCCGTCGCATTTGGCTCTTCCCAGGAGCCATTCCAGTCTTCGTCCTGCCAGGGCTCATAGCTTTCGTCATAGTAGGTACCGTCGTGGTAGGGCTCGTGGTACTCCTCGTAGTCCTACCAATAGTCTGCTCTGTGGCTGGGACTTTGCTCTTCAATCCAGGACCAAGCTTCATCAATCCAGGCATCGTTGTCCCAGCCATCGTCCACGTGAGCCCCGGCGTCGGTGTCCTCGTAGTAGAGCTCGCCAGAGTCGTCCTTCTTGGTGATTAGCCTCAAGGCTAGCACCCGAGCTTCCTGGTATCGGCGAAGATCTCCTTGCAATTGTAGCTTGATATCCTCGACGAACTTATATGGTAGCTCGCTGCCACGGAAGAACAGGTAGAACTTCGCCACGTCATTCAAGTCGAGGCCTGCCCGGGTGACCGCCTCTTCCAGGCGGATGTCAAACTCTATCGCATACTCCTGGAAGTTCATCTTGCCTCGCCTGAACTCAAAGAAGGCTTCTATACTCTGGCTCACCATTTCTTGGTCACTGACACCGAAAGCGTCTTTGAGACTGTTGCAGAGGGCCTGGATCCCGCTCGGGATGGAGTGCTAAAGAACGATGTTCGTGTTCTGAGGGTCGCGAACCTCTTCGACGCTCAAACGGACTAGGGCATCGCTGCCCACGTCTACGCCACCATCTGGCCTTTGGAGCCTGAGCTACATGCCCAGTCTCTGGGCCTTTCCTTGAAGCCTCCCTGCCATCAATGGTCCAACCATCGTGTCGTCGCCCTCGTAGATCCTGTACCACAGCTTCAGCCGTTCGAAGTACAGTCGTAAGGGGTAGTCACTAATGTTGCCCATCCGGGTGGCACGTCTTTCCTGAATTCGTGGGGAGGAATCCCCCGAGAAGGTAGCCGTCGCGAAGGTAGTCGATGGAGTCCTCGGAGTTCAGATAGAAGGTGGAGGCCACGAGGTTTTATAACCCTTCTTTCTTAGCAATCTTACGAGAGAGAATTGTCCAGCCGAAGCCAGAGGAAAAATCGCAGCACTCCAGGTAGCGGCTTGCCTTTCCAGAGTTTCCCGCCGAGGTGGGCGTCTCTATCGAATTTCCACGGTTGTTAGGCACGTCGATGCCCATCTTGTTCCACAACAGCCAGACCAACACCAAGAAGTACACGAGGTCCATCTTGTCGAGGGTCAAACAACTGCTCCCCGAGAGAGCGCAAGGCAGCCAATAACGCTATAGCCGAACTCCGCTACCAAACTTCGAACACAACTGTTTACTTAATCCAAGCGCACTATGTCATATACGATTGCTATCTCTCGTGGGAATGCAGAGTGTTATATAAGACTAGTTCTGAAAGTTCATTAAACGACTAATATCTTCTATATATTTCTTGAAGAAGAATATTTCCGATCTCAATATACGAAATCTATTTTATATTTCAACATTATTCGAATTCAATATCATAATTCTTTTAGAAATTCCAAATTTTTTCTTTTTCATGAAATACATAGTCCGATATTGCTAAATTTTTTTTACAACTTTATACAAATCCATCTCATTATACCAATCATTCGATTTATATAACGTTCAATTCAATGGGAATATAAAAATGGTGTACTACATATTAGAATGAAAAATTAAATCAACTATGATTTCTAATTATTCGTATTGTCCGAAAATGATCTTCATAGTTTAACTAATTTCTTCGTAATTAAAACCCAACATTCAATTCAAAATCTTCAGGATTTCGGATACAGATATCAACATACCCAACGAATGGGACCTACTGAAGTTGAAGAGACAGCCAACCAGATCCCAAGAATCCAGGTCTCAGTATACACCTCTCTCACAAGCTCGTCTGCCCGGGCCACGAAAAGGAAATCGCCCAAATTTATACCTGTTCAGACCCAAGATAATCGCAACCACTACAGCCAAACCGGCCAACATCTGCTTGCAGAAAGAACCTAGCATTCCCTAGGCATGACTGCGCAAATTCTCATTCCTTAAGACTTATGAGCAGTCTCTGGATCTTGACAATCCATGGAGCCACTTTTACAATCCGTGGGACACAGCAGCAGCATGTGAACCACGTGGAAACTTGAAGTCGGAGAACTTCAGTTCTCAGAAGCTTCCAAAGCACTTATTCACTAGACTGCAATTCCAGCCAACCGTGCCTGCCATGTGCAAGTGGCTGTAACACTCAATAAACGCTCTTTAGCTCGTAATCAGTGGCTGTCCAAACCAGCTGCATGGCAGGCCACAGCTCACTGGATGCATTGACTGCCAGGCAACGTTGACCTGGTCTTCAGCTTTCCGTCCAAACGAAGACTGAGCAAAGCCCTACTCGGCCTGCTAGATGTACGTGCCCACAGAGTGCGTTATCTCCGGGCCTTGGATCTGGCGACTGTCAAACGGCTCTCAGCCCAACCTACCGAGGCCTCGGCATAGGAAAGCGACATGGAGCCGGAAAGGCCACTCGAAGGCTGTCACCAGGAAGCTACAGCACCCGACACAGCACAATCGCCCTTGACACGAGTCTTCTTCTTACGGAGGTGCCAACAAGCAGTGCAGGAGTGCATGTGTTGCGTGGACTCTTCTCTACACTGCGGCATGTCCGCATGTTCTTATCAGCTTAGTAGCACTGAGGCAGATGCACGGGCAAAAAATGAACTGCAAACGATGCAGTCTGTGATGTATTCAATGAAGGGAGCATGGTTACGGTTATTAAATGTGTACACATGTGAATCGATTTGCAAAATGCAGATCTCCTCGGAACGACATGTTTGTTTATGCTTTCTGCCGGCCGGCACACCGGTCTTTGTGGAGCCCACAAAGCATGAAGATGGCACACCTCCACTACCTCTCACTTTTGCCTCCGGAGCTCAAAACTTCTTCCGAACTTCAGGTCTCCATGAAGAGCCGCTCGAGTCGGTTTTCATACGCCGGGCGGCGCGCTCTTCTGCTGGACATGAATGCAGAAGGGCAGTGAGCCCTTATAGTTCTCTCTGTTCTATCTTCTTGCATTCCGAAGCTCCAGCGGTAGCTCCGCCCAAGAACAAAAGCACCCGTTGCTCTCAACTCGCTGCCCTTCGTGATTTCGTGTTTCCCCACACCCCGCCCTGCAAGCTGTTAATTGGTACACCTGTGCGGATGGCTTCCTTTGCTTCCTCTTCTGTGAGACTGACCAACTAAGAGTACAAGTGTTGAGGAATTCTCTCCCTCGTCTTCCTTCCGGCAAGCTCGAGTCCAGCTGTATCTGCAACCATCATTCACCCGTTCACTGTCCTGTCTTGAGCACATGCGGTCGCAAGTCGTCCCAAACATTCATGTGCGCGAGGCTCAATGCTAGAACATGTAGGCTTCGGGCAAGACAAGGACTAAAATTTAAAAGCACACAACACTTGCCGGCGAACCCTTCCGCGCGGAGTTTGCTTCTCGGATCGCCATGTTTCGATCCTGAGTGTCCATGGCAGCTGAACCTTACTGCCTGGAAATTCTTTGGCAAGAGCTGCCGCCGCCAAGTCGCTTTTGCTGCGATTCCAGCTGTGATTTCACCTCTGCGGGGTGCAGCATGGTCTGCTTTATGGATGCAGGAGCTCAAGCGACAAACCCTGGTTCCTCCTCCCACAGCCTGTTGCTTCCTTTTGAATGCGATGTCACGGCTCTTGCAGCATGCGAGCTGCATGCAGAGCTGTTGACTCCCCCCCACAAGCGCTTCCGCTTTTGGAGGCTTGCTTCGAAGCATTTGCTGGTCATTTGCACGCAGCAATGCCGTGAATGTCCTACCCTACAACTACTGGTACCCCACTGGAGTGAACGAGGGAGGCTTCCCCCACTTAAGCCGCAAGATGTTGCAGCACATGTATCGCTGAAGCCTGGCTTTCTGTACAGGCCACTAGAGGCCCCTCACGCCAAAACGTTCTGCTGCAGCTTGGATTTGCCTTTTGCGATTAGCTGCACTGACCCAGCTGCATCATGTAACTTCGAGATTGACTTGCACATCGTCAGACCTTCGCAGCCGGCAGCGCATCTCCGCGAAAATCTGGCATCGGTAAGCTCGTTAAATCTCAAAGAAATCTGCAGTCGTAGACAGAGCACCACGGCACCTGGTTGTTGCCAGCAAAAATGTCATCCTCTGGGACAAGAGCCACATTCTCCTGTCAAAACAACCCAGGGCTACATATCTACTTCGAACATCTCCAACATATGTAGAAGAATTCAAGCAGATACTCTGCAGGATGCGGCCTGATGATACTGTGATACATGTCTAATCATATATATATATATAATTATATATACACACATACATACACATATCAGCTTGGGGGTGGACACTCCCGGTATGCTCTGTGGGACACTTTAGAGGAGGAACACTCCGGGGATACTCTCCGGATGCTTGGGATGGGCACTTCAGGCCCTTCCGTGGGGCACTTTGGGGAGCACTCCAGTGATACTCTGCGAGAGATTCTCATGGCCACCAGAATTGGGTGGGCAGTCCAGGGATAGTCGACCAGATACTCTGAGTGTCTGGAGTCCAGGAGAGCGCGAGGTCAGAGGCTGCCTGGAAATCTGAAAAACCTCCCATTCAACATTCTTCCGAATTCCTGTAGCCAATTTGACGAGACGTCACACGTTTCGTTTCTGTACAGGAAAGACATCAACGAACAATTTCTGAATCGCACTGCTGGAGCATCGGCCTGAATGAAGGAGAACTGCAGTTCGTGCTCGAACTTGCCTTTGACCCGCGGAATGGAATCCAATATCCTCGAGCAGAAAAGACAACACGCGCGAGGATCGATGAGTAGGGCACGTGGCAAGTGCTAGGACCATTAACCTTCCAACCCCCACTACTAGATACTACTAGCACATTGTAACCCGAAATGCAAAGTACTCATCCACAAGGCCAAAGAAGTGCTGAGCGCATGACGTGCGAATGTCATCTCTGGTGACAGCTTTGGCCTGGAAGCATGAATCAAGCTCGTTGTGTTGATTCGCGCTTAACAACCTTTGGCATCCTCGTCTTGCGTGGATCCGAATCCTGCCTGTGAAGCCTTCGCTCCTTTCAATCGCAGCGGTCCCTCGGCAGGATGTTCATGTTCTCATGTCGTCACTTCCTTACTTCGGCTGCAGGCCCTTTGCCTGGAAGTCCAATCCGTGAACACCTCGGGAAAGCAGAAACATAAATTCAATTAAAGCCTGGGTACTGGAGGTGCAGAGGAGGAGCGATACTTCTGCTTGTTCGAGTAAGTGAGCTCAAAGCCTGCGCGCGAAACTTTTTGCAACCTCGTGTAGCTGCACATGAACCGGCCGTTTTGTGCTAGCTTGCCCAGGCCCAAGGCTAGTCAAGAACACTTGTCAGTAGGCTGATTCGTCCCGACAAAGCAGAGCCCCCAATGGGCCAGCTCCTGTATCTATCATTATCTATCGCACCTACCTCTGCGGAGAAGCTGGTATAGCTGGTTTGTCTGCGTCTGCCATCGTCTGCCTGCGAAGACCATCTGGCCCGTCAGGCTCGCATTCTCGTCTAAGTGTTCCAACAGCCTTTGAACCTGCATGGTCACACATGCACAAACAGCGCAAAGTGCCGCTGTGAACCCGCATGTCCTGGTTGTGCATGCTGAACGAAGCACATGCTGGAATCTATTTCGGAACGTGAACAAGGTGCTCCAAGCTCACCAACGAATCCTGTACTGAACGCACCACGACGGGTCGATGCAACTTCTGCCGCGGCTCTTCAGCGCTGACGGCTTCCGGAAGCAAAGGGATGGTCTTCTGTAGCTGCCGTTCTGCATTTGATGCAATCTGACAATTGGGCGCATCGTGCCTCGTCCACGTCGAAGGTATCAATGATCTTGACCTAGAAAGTGGCTTCTCGGAGGCGGATATCGCTCAAGTGTGCATGTTGCACCTTTGGGATGGCGAACAGCTCTGTCCAGCCACGCTTTGTTCCACGATCCTTTGCGGAAGCGAAGCACTGCCGCCAAACTGCAGCGTCGCATCACACAAGGAAGCGAACACTCCCAACAAGATAGATAAGCATGCGGTAACCGTCGCGTATTGTGTCGCTAATGCTCTCCTCCTGAACATGCATGATTGCAGATCTGGCTAACTTGACTCCAATTTGTGGCGCTGAGAAAGGACTTGTCCACACGTCGGTGCTGCTGTTGGGCCAAGTCGCATCCAAACCGTAGCCAACCAGCCACAGGTCGGGCCTCAAGAGACTGCTTCGAATCTGGCGAGCCAGCAAGGCCCACGGCCAAGCTACTGGCAGATTCCTAACACCAATGATATCTGCCTCACACGGAAGGCGGGGCCCTTTCTCTGTGGTGCAGATGACGGGCCAGCCTCCGGCCACTCACGTTGGCGTTCTTTGCTAAAGAGGCATACTGTCAAAACCTGAATGAGAAACAGAAGCCCGCATGCTGAGCAACTTCAGACTTGCTCTGGCAAATCTTGCATTAACAATCTGGGGTTCCAACATCATTTTCGGTATGAGTCGCTGACAATCTCGACAGAAAGAACTGCTTCATCTCCTTGTCTGCAGACTCAGCAGAGAGGCAGTACATTCGGAGAGTCGAGACCTGCATCGTTTTCCCGTTGTCCAAAAGCTCGTCGATGAGCACAACCTTTGGGCAGAGAGCGGCTTAGAGTAGGCATGCTGCCGCTCGCGCCACGGCCTTGTGAGGTGCTTTGGTCGTTGTGTCGCAGAACTTGGAACTTGCGACATCCGGGCCAGTGATTTCAACGGAACCTCTCAGGCTTTTCCGTGGCTGGGGCAGAGCTTGGGATGCCTGAGACGCCAATTGGCCTGACTGCGAGCGCTTCTCTTTGTAGGAAGACGCCTGTGCGCAGTCTCTGGCTGCCGCCCTTTTGCGCCGGTCCCCCATTCTGCCGCACCTCGATGAAATACACCGAATACGGCCCTCGGTGAAGTGCAGAAGACTCGGCTTCAACGTCCTTGCTTGAATCATCGGAATTTTTCGTAAGGAGCTGAGGCTCGATCGTATCAAGTTCTTACCTGAGGATGGCACATGCGATTAGGAGTCTCTGTTCGGAATTGCTATCCCAGATGCTTGTAGCCCCTTTTTTACGCCAGGGAGCACAAATCCGAGAGGAACATGAAGGCACCCTTGAGGATTGCCACGAGAACTATGCCTCGATAAAGGCATGGCACTGGTTCAGCATGGGCACACCATCGTAAATACCCTGTAAGTTCCCTGCGCTCCCCTTTACACCAGGTCTCAATGCGCCTCGCAGCAATCCGCACGCCGGCCTCATTGTGCAGATTTGTGAAAGGATTCAAGGAACGGCTCATGTAACGAGTTCGGTACCTCGATCTCCTCCCTCTTGAGGATAAGCCTGTAGTTCTTTTGGTCCTGGAGACAGTAGCTAGATCCTTCTCTAAGGTTTTTGGCAGATGCTGATGTGACCATACACTCGAATGTCCTGAAAATACTTTGACTCTGCCAGCGGCGGCTGCATATTCCGATCGCCTCGGTGAGACAAGCCTCCGGAGCGTCGCAGGTCGATTTTCAACAACATTGAGGTCTGCACGAAGTGGCGCAAGATACTCTTCACTTCGTGCCTTGGTTCAGAAAGAGACCACAGGGAAGTGAAAACTGCTATTCAATCTTGACCATGCGAAATCTGGGGGACCTGGCCAGCGTGTCCTTCAACACTTCAGTGTGCTCTCGATGCTTTTCTGCCTCCATACCGGCAGGAGGTCTATCCACGCTGGCGCTGACTAAGGCTTCGCAGCAAGCTGAGTTACACCAAGCAGCTCTATTCAGACTTCAGAGCAGAAAAGTGTCCATGGGGCACTCTGTAGAAAAGCTCCGTGTCCGCCTCGCAAGCCAAGATGTCGCGAAACACCCCTTTCACCTTTGCTAGGGGCACAGGTCTGCCAGGGTCTAGCATTGACAAGTCCCGTTTCGCAGCTGGACGAATGCATCTCAGCTTGCTGCCAGGGGAGGTACCGGCAGAACCGCTATGTCCTCTTGATCGAGGCGCCTTAGAGCTTAGCTGCACTGCCACCCTGAAAGTACATAGCACTCATCACCCGAGGACAATACTGGACGTCTGCCACTTCATTGATGCACACGTTTGGATGAGCCCTCGGACTGCTCATATCTGAAACAGAGTCCACTTCTAGCTCTCCTCGGCAGCCAAGTCGCAGCGCGGCCAGCCACCTCAGCTTCGACGAACTCACGCCGTAATTTCCATCGCCGCTGCAGCTCGGGCTAGAAGGCATGCAACAGAAGCGATTTTGCGACGAACAAATCGCGGCCGGGTGGCTCATCAATGAACTGTTGCTTGTCCGGCAGGGCCTCAAAGAAAGCTGGCTCTGCGGGTGCACCATCCACAACTTGCAGGGGCCCGTGCTGCGAGCAGCAATGCTTTTAAGGATGAAGGCCTGGCTTTGCAACTCATGTTTGCCCTGGCTCCAGACATGACAGTTCCCGCATCACTCACCCAGCACAAGCCAAAAGCACATCTCTGCAGCTGAAGGCAGAGGACCTCGCAGCTCGCATGTTCAGCCATACAATCCATGTTCAAAACGATCCTGCTTTCGGGCAGTGCGAGGCCCGCACGCAGTCGTTTTGTTGGTCGACCGGATCCCGGGGGCTGCATAGGCCTACCTTGCTTCCAGTCACGATGCTGAAGAGTCGACGTATCATCAGCACATGGATGGTCACCTCTCTTCATACCTGTGATATGCTCGCCCTGCCTAGCCAATGCAATTAAAACCCTTTTTTTCTCACGCATTCAGAGAATCTCTCTGTTAACACAGGTGACACGGTAATGTTCTTTGCAGCATGCACATTCCATGCTGACCTATTCGCCTGCCGAACCGTCTTGGCTCAAGCAGGCGACAGTTGTATGGTGTCAGTAAGACTTGAAAACAGCTCTGCAGAGAGCGCAGGTGTGTGGAAATACAATAGCAGCCAATCTGCCATGACAGGCTTAGGGGCCATTTGTAGGTACAGGTTTCGAGAACATGTAAGGGCTAGGAAAAGTGGGCGGCTACTTAGCCTTGCCCCTGGGACTTCCTTTTTGGCTGGCAGCCTCATTTTGTGGAAAGAGCTTCACCCGCAGTATGATACAGTTTCGGTCAAGCCCTGCCTTGCCGTACAGGCCGGTTGCAGTCATTTGCCGAAACCTCAGATCACACACTCATGCATACTTTCGATTGCGTCTGCTACATGCGAAGCCGTCGTCTAAGGCAAGAGCGGCACACCCTTCTCTTCCAAGGCGTCCCTGCACTCAGGGGTTGCTACTGAAACCCGCTATGGTGTCACTCCGATCTGTCCCTTCCAAGCATCGCTGAAGGGCCTGTTCATGACTTCACGCCGTTGCAACATGCATAAACACAAAATTTTGGGGGATTCCTGTCGACTGCACATCAACGTTACATGTCTGCTGCGTTAGCAGGAGCTTCTCAACACTTTTTCGGGATTGCTGTTTGCACCATACCCTGCATGACAGGCCAATTCCTTCAAAACACTGCTTCCACTAGCGATTCCACCCTCCGTTTTCTTGTTTGCATGGGCTTGGGATTCAAGCCCTGGTCCAAGACGGAAACCCGCAACAAAAACTCTGCAGAGAATGCATGAACTGTGTTGGGCTTTGTTTTCGATCTGCTTTCGTGTGGATTCAAATCCCCAGCCCGATACCAGTACCGAATAACAAACCAACAATCCTGGAACACAACGTAAATGCTTTGACTGTCCGATTTTTTTGGTGTTGGTGTTCCATATTTTATCGATAGTTAGCACTATATGATAATCAAGAAACCCAATCCATCCATAACCAAAAGGGCAAAGAAGCACATCTTAAGTGTTACACGCGGTCTGCGTTTATGCCTGACTCCCCATACCAAAAGCCTAAACTCTGTGCCAAAGCATGAAGTACTTTTTGTACTTCGCCTTCGTTCTCCTCAGGGACTGTGGAGGTATACAGCATGCGTTTCGCAAGGTGGTTGCAAGATGTGTTAACCCTAGGCTCGAACCGTACAATTCCATAAACACAACCTGAACCACCAAAGAGTTACTGTTGATGTAACGTCATGGTGTGTACTAGGTGTTTTGCAACTGTATGTATGCACCATGATCTCGATGATTGGAATAGTTTACATAAACATCAAACACCCCTGCGTTGCTGCATCGAAAACAAATAATTTGCCTACACGGGTATCTCAAACCTCAACCCTTACAGCCCAAAACTAAAGCGTTAAGCTCGAAACCATAAACCCTGCTCGGTCAGTGCCGACCGAACTGAAGGACTAAAGCTTAGGGTATTGGGTTTACGAGACCTTAAAGATCTCAGATTTCAAGGTTTTTTGACACGACAGCCTACCGATTTAGGGTGTGGGGCTTTAAATTTCGGGTTAAGCTTTACGTCCGTGGATTTGCGGGGGTAGGGAACGGCGGAGAGATACTGTAGAGGTACCGGACAAGTGTATAGCGTGTGTTCCGCAATGAACTTGCAAACGTGAATTCCATAGACAGAACCTGAGGCACCTGAAAGGTCCTGTAGAGGTAAACAGTAGGTATCTTGCAGAATAGTTACAGGATGTATTCAGCTTAAGCTCAAACCGTGAACTACCATAGACAAAACTTGAAGCACCTGAGAGGTACTGGAGAGCTATTGTGCAAGTATGTGGAGGTATACAGTGCGTGTTTCGTAAGGTGTTTACAAGGCGTGTTAACACTAGGCTCAAAGCGTACAATGCATCAACACAACCTGAACCACCAAAGAGCTACTGTTGATGTAAGGTCATGTTGTGCACTAGGTGTTTTTGGCAACGGTATGTATGCACCATGAGCTCAATGATTGGATTAGTTTACATAAACATCAAACACCCCAGCGTTGCTGCATCGAAAACAAATAATTTGCCTGTACGGGTATGGAGTTCACAAGATGTATTGGGCCTGAGTTCAAGGCTCAAGCCGGGATCACCATAGACATAACCTAAATACTAAAGTACCGGAGAGTTTCAATAGCGATATTATATAGAATGTGTTTCGCAATGTAAATACAGGAAGCATTAAGCCTGAGCTTAAGCCGCGAATAACCATAGACATAACCCAAAGCACCAAACAAGTACTGTCAAGGTATCGTAATCGTATGTAAGAAGAAAATAGTTTTGGCTTATACCGATACCTTACACCTCAACTTAGACCCTGAACCCTAAACTTGAAACGCTAAACCAGAAACCCTAAACCCCAAATAAATCCGCGACGCATTAGGGTTTTGGCATCAGAGGCTTAAGGAGTTTAAGCTGCTCGGTTTAGGGTGTGGGGTTTTAAATTTCGGGTTAAAGGTTTACAGAAGGCTTCGGAATCAGGGTATCCAAAATGTAACGTGCGGTACCTGAGAGACATACTGTAGAGGTACTGTGGAGGTGTGCAGCATGTGTTTTGCAATGCATGTGTAAGCCTGGGCTCAGGCCGCAAAGCCTAAGCCCTCGACGTTGAACCCGAAACTCTAACCGGTGTCAGCTTTCGAATGTGGGAGACTAAGGTTTTTCCATTCCCAGATCCGGATTCAAAAACTTCCCATATCGAAAGCCCCAGGCCTCCCTTAAACTCGTAAACCACACATCGCTCGGCTTTTATATGTTTATTTATTTACATACGATACTCTAGACTAAGTATCAAATAGGCCGGCTTCTTGATCGCACATCTAAGTTACGTGCACGCACAGCAATAGGTAATTAACGAACAACCTAGACCTGTAAAGCCCGAGTTGACCCCCTGAAGACAGCAGCTGGCCTCACCAGCTCTGCTCTGTTGGCTGCAATGGCTTCCCAGAAGTCTGCCTTGCCCTTGCCACTTTTGACGTGGGACTCTATGGTGATAGGCACTTCGCCAAAGCAGTGAAGCACTTCGAGTGCATCTAACCTCAAAGAAGAAACGCATGGGGTCTGGAAAGGAAAGCGTTGCAACCGCCTCAAGAAGAATCCGGATGATAAACTGTCGTCATCATTGCGATATACCTCGCAAGCATGGCCACTTTTATCCGGGTCATCGCCATCATCATCATGACCAATCATGACGGATCGTGAGGTTCCTCACCCTCCTCCTCCTCCTCTTCCTCCTCCTCCTCCTCCTCCTCCCCCGTCGTCATCATCATCATCATCATGACCACGAGCAGTCGCATCGTCACCGTCGCTGTCATCATTGTCATCATCCCTGTCCGTATCCTCGTCCTTCGTCAATCATGACGCTCATGAACCACAACCTCTGGTGATACATTCTCTTGCATGACGAGTCGCAGGGCAGCATCGGCAGAGGCCGGATCTATCCATTCAGCTGTTGGCGGCTGTTTTTCCTTGCGAGGCGCGAAGCCCATGCCTGCAGTGATTTCGACCCACTCTTCGTAGACATTCACTTTGACTTGACCACGGGAGGCAATCTCATCCATGAAGGCCGCATATCTGGTCCTGGCCACATCACGACGGCGAAGAGCCGAGAGCAGGACAAGGACCGCACAAAAGCCACCACCGAATTTTGCGGATCTTAACCCTTAAGAGGGTTTTGAAACAAGATGTCTTTTTAAAACACCCTAGACCCCTAAAACCTCTAAACCTCTATTAGACCTCTACGCTGGGCGAGTTCTGTCCATGGCCAGGGCTTCGCCATCGCGACCTTCGCGACGCTCAGCTCGCTGCCTTGCGCTGCCAAGTTCTCCTCGAACCGCGTGTGGAGGGGTAAGAGGGGTGCAGTGTAGTGTAATTTCCGTTATTAGCTCACAAGCTTATCTGCTCAAAGGGCCTCAGCTTCCGTCAGCTTTCTTTGCAGCTCGGCGGATTCACTTTGGCACAGCTCGAGCTCCTGTTTGGCAGCCTCGCACCATCGCTCTTGAACCCATCATGACCCTCCCATCTCTCCGACTCTGGCCGTGTTTTACCGTCCGCTCCGCGCCTGCATGTCGCTCTCGGCCTGCTCTGAGACCTTGCGCCAGTTCTCCGCTTGCTCATTGGTCGAGACCCCCTGGAATAAGAGCTCCCGGAAGTGCAGCAACATGGGGCGCAGTCCCTGCCGGGCTCAAGACTGCACAGCTGAACATCCTTCCAAAGATGCAGTTCCGCTGCTAACAACTTGCAAAGGCTTTGCCGCGGCAAATTTTGCAGCCAAAGCCTTCAAACAATGAGGATTCGTGGAAATGATCGAATTGCGCGGTTCATATGTTCTCATGGCGATGCCGTGCCTGTTGCTCCATGGTGTAACAACGTTGCCTTCTTTCCAGGTTTTGAGTGAGAGAATGCTACATGCCGACCTGATATGCCGCGTGGAAAAGCGGTCGTTGCTTGATTGTGTAAGCGTGCACCATCGACCAACGGATGCCTGTCACCTGCACATGAAACTACCACAGCCAGACTACCGTGATCTAAGGTCTGGCCAGATTCTCACCAATGGGCAGGAAACGTAGGCGGAAGAAGCAGTTGCGCAAAGCAGCTTTAGTAATTGCATCTGCCCCTTCGAAACCAGTTCCTGAAGCCACAATGCCAGTGGAGATTTTACAAGCCATGCCACCACGAAGTTCAGAGAAGTCTGCCACGGCTACGACTACAGACACACCCATCTGCAGACTGGAGAATGCGAGAATTTTGCAACATGCAGGATGGGAGACAAGCTTCTCTATTGCGAGCCTCATCGTTCTCATCCAATTCTTCCGCATCTCCAGCTATGAGTCTCTGCATGTAGGAGCGCAGCTTCTCATGCTCGCCGATGGTAACCATCTTCATGCGATCAGCTCCTTCATGTGCCGCCTCATGTTGCCATGTGCATACGTGGGTTGTTGCGGAGCAAACACATGTGATACAATTTTCGACAATCTCGGCATGAAAAACTTCCGAACTTGCCCTGGTGCTTTGAGCGTCGACACGTTGATCTCATCTGCGGACTTTTGCATCCTCTCTTGCATTTCACTGCCAATGTCATGCATCACGGAGCCCAGCTTCGTTTGAAGAACGACATCTTGGTTCTCGAGCTGCCGCGAGACTTGGCTTGCATAGTTTTGAACGCTCTCCAGGACCGTGTCAATCTGACGCTGCTGTTCTGTGGCATACCTTGTGACTTGCTGCGCCATCTTCTCCTCGCAGTTTACACACATTCGCTGTGTCGAGGGAGTTTTAACGTCTTAAGGGAGTACAGCCGCGCACCTGAGCTCGATGATTCCTTCTTAGGGCACGAGTAAGATTAGCTTTGCGGAGCAGGACATCGGGGAAAGCACCTGAAGTTGGCTCAGCAAGTTTCGAAGCATGGCTTCCTGAAGTCGGTCAAGCCTACGGTCTAGTCAGTGTCGTACGGGGGTGGACGTGAGCAACCCAGCAGGAACGCGCCCTGCCTAGGATGGGAAGAAGCCTAAAACACCTCGACCTGATCTGGCCTCCCAGTGGCTCTCCACTCGAGCAGAAGCATAAACACAAGAGTTTCGGCTACGGTTTCTGTGTGTAGCTGGGAAAGCTGATGTCCGAAAGATCCTGAAATATCTGACCCAGACCAGTCTGCTTCTACTAGGGTCCTCTATCAGCTGTGCGATGTTGCTTGTGGCCGCCTTCACCGCTTTCTCCACTACATGCTCGACCGCGGAGAGCAAGACAGATTCATGACCTTGATGTGAATCGGAGAGCTCATCCACCAGACTGGAGTACTTGTTCATGGCCTCCCTGAATCTTGCCTTAAGCGGCAGCTTGCGAGGCGGGCTGATGCAGCAACTGGAGTGCAAACGTGAAAACGAACTAGCCTGGGCCAAGCGACAAACTCCGAAGTTGTGATGTACTCGTTGAGAAAGCTGACTAAGGAGCGATTTGCATCTTCGAGCTCGCTGATGTGACCTTTCAACTGCCTGGAGGATTGCATCGGAAGTCAGTGATACGGGACACGCTCATCAATTTGCCTACGGAGCCCTGTCTAGAAGCACCACAACAATACTAATTACCAGCCTACTCCAGACTTCATGTAAAGAAAGACACCCCCGCCCTGTTGCCTGACAACATGGTCATCGGATTTCCGCCACGCAGCGAACTGCGAGCTCCAGCCCTCCAGGACCTGAGCAACCACTCCGCTGTCCAAAGCGGTGCCGACCTCTTCGCGCACGGCCGATCCTCAGAGGATCGCGTCGTTTCGAAACCTATCCGCGCTTCCACAGCGATGACCGTGAGAAGACCAAGGCTCTCAGGTCCCCGAAGTATTCCTGCAGCGGCCTGAAAGGCGGCTTTCAAACGCTATTTTTGGATGTCAATTGACAGTGCTAAGCCCGCAGCGAAAGGCGTGAGCCGGCCCATGTTCGAGGAGATCTTCGAGTGTCCGGGGGCCCAAGACCTCAGCAGCTCGCGTCACTTGCATGCCGCTCAGATGGGTGCACTTGCCAGGATAGCAGTCGCAGTTTAAGCCATGGGCCCATGTCAGATGTGGGTGCTCTCGCGACACGGGAGTCCATCGTGTCCTGGCACGAAGCAGGCTATGCTCTACGCCAGGATCGCTGCAAGACACGAAGCTCAGCCCCCAGCGGGTTTTGTCATGGTTGGGCTTCCTGCACGGATGCTGTCCTGCAGGGAACAGGGCACAGGTCTTTCAGCTCAGCTCGAACAGATACACATAGACTGAAGCTACTGGTAGAAAGGTGTGAGGAGGGAGTAAAAACTAGGAGTGAGCTTGTGCCGCGATGCTGCGGCACAACCTCTTGACACATGTCACTTCGCACACTAGTGTGCGTCCCAACCGACACACGCACGCGCGCACACACACACAAAGACATTGTCCCCAGAAGCATGCGTGTTCGTTCAAAGCCGAAGCCAGCTTGCAGTCCTGGAGTCAATCAAGAACCGAAGATCTGCTGCCGAGAACATTGAGGCCAACACTGCCAATGCGAGTAACGTAAATACGACGGATGGGGACATCGGCGGATGGCCGAAGCCCAAAGTAGAGACCAACCAGCAGCCGTGGCCGGGGAGAGGGGGGTTGCGGGGCGGCGGCAATTGGAAGCTTCTCAGATGCCTCTGCGCCAGCTCTTGTTCGACAAGTTTCCCTGAACCGTCAGGAAGACCTCAGGGTCCGATGCTCGGTCCTGGGTCAGCTTCGTGAGCGTTTCTTGCAGGAACTTGTGCGACCTGGCGACGAGGCGCTGAAACATTGAAAGCGATAGAAGAAATGACAAGGCTTCTGAGATCTTCTGCTCATGCACTCAATGCACTGCACTTAGCGCCGGTCTGGGGCCGTGGTGGGTTGCCAAAGCCCGGAGCAGTCCATGGCTCCATGACGCGAGAGATGCGCTTGCTTCTTTGCTGCTTCATGGCTGCAGTCCTGCTGTCCTGCTCGAGCTCTCTATGTGTGGTTTTCGTGGAGTTGCTTGGAGGTGCGGGGTCAAGAAACCGGATTAAGCTGTGGACCATTTCATGGCATGGAAGACCAAGCAGAGACCGTCACAGTGCAGCCAGACTCAGACCCGCCAGCGGTGTCCGAGCTCTTGACACAGGGGCGACTTCGGCGGCGCCAGCGCCGCCAGCTCAGCGACCATGGCTCTGCTCGGGGCCTTGGCCTGTACTCGAGTTCTGATGGCAGCTAGCGAATGCTAGCGAGCAATGACAGAGTTCTTCATGTCTTTCTTGGCGACAGCCTCGGACCTTCCAACAATTCTGCAAGCTTCACCACGCTTTGATCATATGTGTTCTGACTTGTGCTTCTCATGTGGGACAATTTTTGGACGTCAGTGTTGTCTGCAGACAGTTTCGTAAGAGGGCACTTCTCCAGAAATCACAGAAAACATCCAGCAGGATCATCGCCGGAAATCCAAGAGAGGCGGTTACAGCAGAGCATACCATCACAAGAGGATCGCGCGTTGTGGTATCGCTGTAGCAATCGCTGAAGTTCCAGCTTTCTCGCCTGCTTCTGTTCCTAGCAGGGAGGGACTTGCCATGCCAAGGTGAGCCGATCTTGTATATTAAAACTATATTGTAGTATATAATAGTATGTACTTGGATATCATAAAAAGATCGCCTGCCACTACCGACCCCGGCCTCCCGACCAGAGACGATGCGCTTCGTCAGGCCGGTCATTTCCAGGGATTGCTTATGCAAGAACTGCTCCTGAATGCACATCTTCAACATCAGCAGAAAACAGTGCACCGCCTGTAAAGTAGATGCGCGTGGGCAAGGGAGCTTTCGAACAAATTGAAAGTTCCGCTGAATGTTCGGTAGTCCTCCAGCCCGCGGATTTTGGTTTCGCGTTTGGCGCTCCAAGCTTCTCTTTCCTTCGCCTGCAGGTCTGACACACCAAGGACCTTGTACCAGAGGCTCCCATTCAATCTGGCGCAAACACGGGTAATCACTAGATCACCAAGGAAGCAAACACCTATGTCCTCTGCGCCATGCACAGATCTGCTGACCAAGACAAAATTCCGATGAAGACTGCTAGGGCTGCGGTCGATTCGTCCATCATGCGAGGGCTGCACGTCTCAGAAGCAGATGCCTCAACGACATCTGCTTGTTGCTTCGTTTTTGATGCTTCTGAGTACCTCAGAATCTTACAATCAGCAAGAGCGACTCTTGACTCTTGACAATTAAAGGGCCGCACTTCTTCATCTTGGCCAATGTGTCCTGCAATTCAAGCTTCTGCGGCTGCGCATTGCGATCAGCCCCATCAACAAATCGTTGCGCTTGTTTGCTCCTGGATCTTTCTCAAGTTGAGCAAATCCTTGCTGAAGCGAGGGTTTCGCGGTTCCGTCTCCATCTCGAACTGCGGTGCCACATCAGGACAAAGCAACATCTTCATCAAGCAAGCTTGCAACGGCTTTGTCTCGTGTGCTGCACATGGTGCATTCCTGTTCGACGTCTCATACTGCAGCACATTACACCCGTGCCTTCTTTCGAGCTTCCGCAAACTCCTGGTTATGCCTGATGAGCGGCTTGAAAGCAACGACCGAATTCCTCTGCAGCTCAGGGCATCTCATAATACATAGAAGCTCAAACCACATTATGCCTGTTACAGAAACCACACTGCTCTCACACAAGTTGGCCCTTTTGGGTTGATTTGTTGCATTTCTTTTGGGGTTTAGGCTCTTTTTAAGCCGTACTATAGTCCCTTCAGGCGTGTCCGGCCGGTTTCCTCGTATGGAGCCGTGTTCAAGGCAAACATGCCCTCTTGTGGAATCACTCTGGGGTTCAACAGACCTGATCAACGGGCAACCAAAACCCTCTGCTCACACTTGCATTCTGAATGCCAAACAAGCGAAGCTTTTCCAACGTGCCTGTCTTGAAGCTGCGACTGCAGGCTAGCAGCATGAGCTTCAAACTCTGCCACCTGAGCCCATTAGGGGTATCTGCGCCACTTGAGCCTGCATTGCTCTGATCAGTCTGCACTTAGCAAGCCCAGGAGGTACTGCGACAGTAGAAGCCAAAAAGTTTGAAACCCAACAGCCTCAATCCTTAAGAGTCATGCATAGGGAATCCCAGCGCTAACTGTCCTTCATCCGGCTTCCAGCTTTTTGTGGCTTACTCTATGTGGACTTTATACTCGCACCGGACCTTCTGATCCCAGTGTTGGTTGAACTCCTGCAATTCCTTCATGTGTGCCTGCCGGGCTCTGGCGAAACTGTCTGAATCGCTGCGACTTCGTGGCGACTCGAAGATCCGTGACAGCCTCTTCTACTCCGAGACGCTGTGCTAGCTGCCGCTGTCGCAGTGCCTCCGTCAACTTGCAACCGCAAGGGACTGGACTCCCTTTCAGATTCAAGCAGAGAGCATGCCTCCCTTCTCTTGGCATCCGCCTTCTCTTGCAGCAGTTCTAATCGCTGCCTGGCGGAGACTCCAAAGCGCGCGACCATCAGCACAGCACGTCCGAGGGTGGCGCTTAACTTGCTCGGCATCCTCGTATTTGCCCTCAGGTTGTGCCAAGCAACATGTCTCCACTTTCGTCGGATCCCAGCAGCGTAATTGACGGGATCTCTCCAATTCACCAATTGTCCAGAAACGAAGGAAACACAGGCACTGACACAAGCACACACACACAAACTGAGAAATATTTCCTCATGTCTATCCCAGCGGGTTGTCGGTTGTCTTCTTCGTTGATGCATCGATTTTCCTTCATTTGTTTGATTATTGTACCGTATCTACCTCCCAATCCTTAAATCATGGAAAATGACGCAGAGTTAATCAGCGAAGCACATCGGCTGGTCCGTATGGGTTGCAGGACAGCTGACATAACCAGCATAACCAGCATACTTCACCCAGTGCCTCGTCCTCAAACTGTCTGCGCTGCTGGTCAAGGGCCTCTAGGAGATGAAATGTTCGCAGCCTACAGCACCGCTTTTGAGACCCAGTGCCTCTGCACACGCATCGAGGTCTCCCTCTTCACTGTTCATCACGAACTGGTCGGATGCCTGCCGAGACCCAACGAGCACTTGCGATACAACTCGAAGTTTCGAAGGGCTTTGGACTCTGTGGCCAAGCCTCAGCCATCCCCCGTCGGCCCCTTCGTCCACCTGAGCGTTCAGCTTCCGCAGCTGATTTGTAGTCCAGCTTCTAAGATTGCGCGAAAAGGTAAGCACCACCTCCGCCACCACTGCGGACAGGGCTGTGACAAGGAGCGCAGCACTGTTTGAGTTGCTGAGAGCCGACCCAAACAGAACGACACAGACGAAATCAGGCAGAGATCAGTATAGTGTTTCTACAGCTACGTCTGGGCAGAAGCTGTGGCCATGTTGCCATGTAGCGCGGCATATCACAAGCCCAAGTTGAACACCATGAATGCTAATGCTAACAAGGAGCCTTTCAAACCTGAGCATTAACACGCTGCACAGCGTCTGATGTCCTGATATGCATACGGACACAGCCAGAACGGAGCGCGCCTTTGTTGCCACCAGCTTGCGTGAGACTCATGAGCTCGAACCCTTTACGAATGAGAACGATGGTGACGATGTCTCTCTTGTAAATGTGGTCTCTGGTGGCTTGCTGAAGACATACACGATTCAAAAGTATAAGTGTGAAACTGGTGGTGAGACCATGCACCTGATGCAGCTCGAGTCCTCGCAAGGGGACCCTTGCAAAGGTCTCTTGAGGTCTCCTGGGCAAGGATTCAGAACCACAAAGCCTGAGCACAAGCAAATCCAGGTGTCAGGTGCTGGGGACCTTCTCCAGGATCAGGATCGCAAGCCGTCTTCCTCACCATCTAGAGAAGCCTGTGAAGGTTCTTCCAAGAAACGGAAACTGAAGGTTCAAGCGAACGGTACTAGCGACCTCGGCCGCTTTTTTGACCAAGGCCTCAGCGGGAATATCACGTTTAAACAAAGTGCAAGCCTGCGACTCTCTAAGTCCGGTGCTGCGCAGTGCTCATCGAAGTTCAGCATGCCTCGGGCCTGGAATGCTTGAAGTGTTGTGGTTTTTTGGGCGAGATCGGGCCGTTGTCGGAAGTAGTGTCTCTGTCCGCTGCAAAGAAAGCAGGCTGTATTCCAAGATCTTCCAAGCAAAGACAGTCTGGAAACCTGAAAAGGGAAGCGGTCTGGAGCTGGAACTGGGGTCGGTAGAATAATCACATCGTTGCTGGATCTGGAGCTCGTGTTGCCTGCACTTCTCCCCTTTTCCAATTATGGATAATCTGCGGTGTACATTGACCTTCTTCAATCATTACTTCATCTTCCTCTTTCGAGGTCGGCTGAGACAGTGGCAATTCCGAGCATGGCCACGGAAACCTCTTCATCCTTCTGGTCTGCTCCGGTCTTGGCAACCTGCCATGTTGTGCAGGCTCTGTGCGGCACTGCGCTGCACTGCCCTGCAACATGGAAGCTTTAGAGACCCTAGAAGCAGACACTAGCCGGAGCCATGGACAGATCTCTCGTCGTGGCCAAGTTACTTCTATGTCGCGGATTGCAATGCCGCTGGCACGGACATGGCAGGTAGCACGGGCTTTTCTTGCAAAGCGAGGCACAGGTCTACATCAGCTAAATTCAGAAAGGGCCTCATCTGGCAAATGGGCGATTGCAGCACTGTGAAGAACAGGAGCTTTCGTCAATCTATGCAATAAAGATCAATGCTGAGTTATTGCCAGATCAGATGTCAAGGATGGCTTAAACAGAAAGTTCAAAGAAGGCCTACTGATGGCGTGCAGTGTGGCAGACGGGTGCTTGCCACAACAGAAACGAAGCATCCCCTCAGCCTTGCCAGCATTTGGGTCAACTCGGTTCTGCAAGGAGGAATCGAGGACTCTTACGTCCTTCCGAATTTACCCGGCGAGTGAGGCACCGGCCATCATCAAGGATCTGCTCCGAGCAACGGGTGGGAGCGGTATCGAGGACTGGCGCTGGAGGTTCGCCCTGGCAGCTGCTGCAGATTCCTTCGAGGAGGCGCGACTGACCTCACGGCTGACATTTGTAGATGCTACAGTGGACGTGCTGCCTGCGCTAATGTTGCTGGACATGCGCCGGTAGCCATCTTTGGAGATGCTATGCTTGCTGGAAGATCGCCGCTGGCTCATCTCAAGAAGCTCTTGGACTTCATCTGCTTCATTCTCTGGTTCTTCACGTTCTATCTTCCTGGGTGACTGTGGCACAACCTGATTGACGAAAAGATCACCCTCGTTTGGAGGTCGAAAAGACTCGGGATCTGGGATGTCTCTCCACGGGTCCAGCACTTCTGCCGGTTTCCGGCAGTTGACCTCAAAAGCCTCGCCAAAGGACAGCTGTCGAACACGCCTCTCCCGCTGTGACCACGGCACAACCTGGCGCTCACGCAGCTTCTCCAGATCATGCCCATAGCGTCGCAAGTCCTCCTCCGTCACATGGATGTAGTTCTTGTACTGTGTCCCATTGTCTGCCATGGAGATAACATTGGTGTTGCTCATGCGCGGCTCGTTCACCGGTGACAACGTCAGGTCAGGATCCAGCACAGCAGGTTGGCTCTTGCTCTTGCGGGTCTTGTGCTTGCCCTGCCGGCTTGGCTTGCCCAAAGGTCTCCCTGGCTTCCGAAGCTTATCTTCGATGGCCACCTGCATGTTGCAACGCAGTATCGGCAATCGAGACCGGCAATGCAGAGAACGCGGCTGCCACACGTGACTCCTGTCTCAGCCTGTAGATGGTTACAGGTACAGTTACTCTGAAACTTCCTTTATCGCCAATTTATCGCGGATCACTTCCCAAGCGTGCTCTCGAGCCCTCATTGAGCCAGAGCCTGCAGAGAGCCGAAAGGATATCGTTATCTCATCTTCAGGCAGCAGAGTAACCAGAGACGCAAGGCCAAATGGGCAGATTGCGACCTCCATCGCCTTTGCGAAGTGGTCTGCAGCTTCATCGAAGCGACCGTCAGTTGCATTCACCTGCCCACGTCGTCTATGCACGCCTCAACCGTTCGTGCCAGGCTGCTGCTCATACTCGGCCTGCCCTAGCCGATGATATGCACTCTTGCTCACCTCTTTGAGGGTATGCTGTGCAAACCTCGGAGCACCAAGAAAGGTTAATGGCGAACTGAGAGATTGGGAAGGTGAGGGTGAAGGTTCAGGATGAGAGTGACAGTGAGGGCTGTGGACATAGAACTTGAACTCTCCTAGGTTGCGGACTTGCTGTCCACGGCGGTTGCTTTCTGTCGCTGCGCCGAGCTCAAATGGTACCTTGCCGACGGCTCTGCAGAGCAACACACAGACAGACACACACACACACAAATACACACGCAAACATCAAAACTGAAATATGCAAATCGGCAGCTTATCACAAGCACATCCCTTGCAATTTGGGGGGCTCACTGCAGGCAGATCCGGCTGGTCTGCAAGTCGCCTTGAGCTGCAGATGCAATGCCCAGGTTGCCCACCTTGAAGCACGCTGTAGCGACCCAGGGATTCTCTTGGCCCGCTCGTCGGATTCTCCGAGGCCCGAGCGGTGAAGCACTGTGCATCCTGAACACGTCACTGAGCTTAGGCGGCTTGCTTTGGGCCGTATGGGCTCGGGAGCCTTGGAGCCCATGCGGTTGGCATACTCGATCGCATGCTGATGATGGATGGCAGCATGCTCAGACAGCCCCATGGCCTTCAAGAAAAGGCTGTGACAAAATCGCTGCCGCCGAAGACTCACACTGTCTCGCGGCCTGGAAAACAATGCCGAGGTTTGTATGCGCAATGAGCCGGCCTGTGCCATCCTTGGCGCATGACATGCTCATGCACCGTGCGGAGCAGCAAAGTCCACTGAGAGCAGAACTGCTAGCTCCAAGTGCTTGTTGTGGTACTGGATTGCTTCGTCATACTGCCCTCGGGTAGATCGGGAACTTCAGCTGAAAGGCACTTCGGATAATCTTGCATGCATACAATGCGTACTTAGCCAATCAAGCCACACGTCTGTGTCCTACCATTCCTTGCTTTCTCCACGTTATAGAATCGCCGTGCTGAGACTCTCCCTTGCGGCAAGCACAGTTGTCTGGCGCATAGTACTGATCCATTGGTGTTGCTAGGTATCATGCGCCAAGACGACACGGCTCACGTACTGCAAACGACCGTCGGCCAAAGACACAGCAGCTCTGCACACCAGAACCCGCAAGCAGCTGCCTTGCAGCGCTTGCCGGCCTATACGGTTTACCAGCTCCACCAGCATGTCTGGGGCTGCATAGCGCCGGCGCTAAGCCAACCGTCGAATCCAGCAAAATCAAAAGGATCAAGAAAGGAGCCCGCACAGGATCCTGTGCAAAGTGCCTTTGGGAAGGGAAACAGTGTCCGTGGTCGGCCTGTTCCGCCTTCAGAAGCACAGCGAGGCTTGACTCTGCAAAGCCCCGTCCGGAGTGCTGGCCCAAAGCCCAGCAGCTCCGTTGGAACCGGGAATGGGGGTTTTGGGAGGGGAGTTCTGCAAACAGCGCCGGGAGCTGAGGAAGTGCTTGAAGACAGTAGAACGATGTCGAAGGCGGTGTATCGAAGGCGCCTAAGGCGAAATCCCCTTTGATGGAAGCTTCGTGTTCCATGGCCGGAGTCTTGTTCACACCGGCTCTTGGACTGCTATGCAGTGCATCGCACCGATCCCGGCTTCTCTGAGCCACTTCCTGGGGTCAAGAAACTCAGATATCCACTCCTCACTTGCAACACCCGGAGCCGGGAGAAGTGCTTCGAAAAAGCGGTTGCAACAACTCTGAAACATGATTCGTTGCATGATCTCAGAAAATTCATCAGATTACATTCGATGGCAGCAGTGCGTCTTGCTGCGAGAAATGTACCGTCGCCGAATTCTACGCTGGCACAGCAACATCGTTCGCTCTGTGTACCTTCCGCTCGTTGTCTCTACCTTTGCTTCTGTCTTGCATTTTCTTGTGTCAACTCGCGTCGACCTACGGACATGGATGCATGGCCTTCGCAGTGATAGGCCTGCCTCCAGGACTCTAGAAATCATGCCTTCCGAGATTCCGAGTTCAAGCGGCGAAGCTGTCGCCAGCACTAGCCACGAAACTCAAGAGCTGATGATTGGATGATGGAACCACTCACCAGTATCAAAAGCTTTAGCTTTGGGATACTGCAGCCCATTTCGAGCCGCCTTCACCTTCCACCCAAACAGGCAGATTGAGGAAAAGAAGAATATCTCAAGGCGCTCAGCGCTCTGAGGGTCCCTACAACTCACGACCAAATCGCTGGTTCGTCCAGCTCCGCGATGGACCTAATGATAATCGGCTGCTCCCGTGTACAGGCATAGTCATCGGCCGCACGGTGAGCAGGAGTTGCAAGGACCTCCCCGGCGCAAATCGGCACCTCTGGCAGAGCATCGTCCTCTGGACCCACCTGAAACTCTGACACTTCGCTCCCTGACCGGGTGCTGGCTGTCGTCTTAATGGAGGATGTGGCAGTCACGAGGTCTTCTAGGTCGGAACAGTCCGTAGTTTCATCGAGATCACGAGACTGCTTGGAGAAGGGCTTCTCATCACTTGGCCTTCCTGTAGATGCTATGACCCGCAAAGCTTCAAGCTTGGAATGCAAGGGCATGCACTCCTCTTCTGTTGCTGGATGGCTGTGGGCCGTTTCGAACTTTTCACATGTCAAGGCCAGGTGGTTCAGCACACCGACTTGTGTCTTCGCCCCTTCCGCGTCCACCTGCCCACAACGAGACGATGCCTATCAGGACATGTTGCCCTGCACACGTTACGGGGCTGCCCAAACTAAGATGTGCCAAGACTCCGATACAGGCTCATTGCTTGGAGCCCAGATGAAGATTTTTATCACAGAAGCACTGACAAAAGCATCCCTTGCAACACTCTCTACTCCGCTCTCTCAAAAAGCCAAAGTGATACTGGCATGCTTTTCGAATATAGCTACAAGGTGAGTGTTTGAGCTTCGTGGCTAAAGCTTGTCTTTTCGCAAATTCACCTGCGCGGATCTAAAACGCTGGAGGGATTCTTGCAGGAGTGGTTTGCAATGGATGCTGTGCTTCAAGATTGGACTTCTGCTTGCATGCCAACTGCATAAACTTCATTCGTCATGTCTACCTGTTGTGGCCACCGTGTGCCGACAGTAGAAGCCTAGTGTCGTGTGCTTGTAGGGAGTGTCCCAGCAGTTTCTCGATACATTTGCAAAATGCCTGCTATGGTGTGTGATGTTTTGTGGCTGGTGTCCCAAAGGTGATCGTCTCCGCTGTGCAACACCAAGGCAGCTGTGCGAGATCGTGCGAGCAACCCACAGAACGCTCAAAGCCATCAGCCTGGAAGCTGGTGTCCAGCTTGCTCTTGCCCACGTACCCCTCGGGAAAAGTGATGCTAAACGATACCTGGAATGGTGGAAGTCCATTCACGCGGTAAGCCATGGCTGAGTAGTCGTGCACGCTCGGGCACTGTACGTGAGTTTGGAAATTTGATTGCGTTCTTGTTGCACCTGCTCGTAAACTAAGACAAGAGGGTGAACTGCTGCAGATGTGAATCATCGCGTATGCACGTGTTGGTACGCCCTGCTCGAGCAACCTGTGCAGAATCGAAGTCACACAACGCCCTTTCTCAAGACACGCGTCTGCAAATCAAGGACGGACCACAATTGCGGCGGCCAACAGTGGCCCCGGCCCATCTTGAAGCAGTCAATGCCCAAACAATTGTATGCCAGTGCCTCCCACACGCAGCCCTAGTTGGTCAGGCCCACTTTTGATCACACAAGCCATGAGAATTATCGATAACCTTCGACATACAATGGCATGCATCACGCCTCACAGTAGTGCTCGTGCATGCCAGGGTGTAGGAATGGAAGTACGGAGGGGAACGAGTGGAACGGAAGGCTGTCAATTCGTCAAACAAGGCCGACAGCAGCATGTAAGGGAGGGTGGCCTCTTGCCCAGAATTCTAAGATCCATGATACGCTCTTCATAGAACAACCAGCATTTACTGTGGATGCTATGCCGATGGATCCTCTTTTGAATGTCTGCTCTGGGGTCATACACGGACCCAATTTTCCTGGTAGGAAGCGGCAAAAGACATTTGCATGGAAAGCAGAAAAGGGAAGGCCGCGTCATGTGTCGACGGATGCATCGCCTCACCCTGCGTGTTCTTGGAGGTTATACACAAAGCCAAGAACTGCTTGTACTTCTGGACGGCCTGACGATATCAAGCGAAGTTTTAAGAAAGGAGCCTTTAACTGGGAGTCTCTCGCTCGCCTCCGGATACATGGCCTGGTTGTCAAAGACAACACCCATCTTGTGATAGGCCTCTCGGTCTGCATCCTAGCGACCTTTGCCCTCCTCGACTCGCGCTCTCGTGCAGATCATGCGCGTCTGCGTGCCTGTAAAGCCTGGTAAACATTTCCAGATCGGCTGGCCTCACTATCCATGGAAGGTACACAAAGGCTGGGCCCACTTGGCACATGCCACGGTCAGTCCAAGGGGCAGAATCAGCCAACATCTTTAAGTCGGCTATCTGCTGCCTGCGTGCTGTGCGCATCTATAGGTTCTAGAGCCCCGCAATAGGATTTGAGAGCGTAAGGAAAAGAAGGAAGGTGGCTTGCTGTGGGGCGTTCTGGGTGGACTTCGTTTACACTAAAGTTTATAAGCGATACATACTGCTGTCGAACAGCTGGGACGGGGACAGACGCGGCTAAAAGGGACTCATACCTGTGGGCTAGTTGTATAGCGTCAAACTACCAGGACGGTTGTGTAGATCGAACCGAAAAAACCTTGTGGACAACCTGCCGGATCGGTAACCATGCAAGCCAGCAACACACGCTACTGAAACGTTCAAGCCGGGGCCGGCAAGACACCGACTCACGCAATCCAGCTACCCAGTTGGAGCCCTGTAGTCTTCGTGACCATATGAACTGAATCATGTCTGAGGCTTGGAGGTGTCCGTTGCATTCGATTGCTACTTCCTTCCCCTGCAGCGGCCGTAAATTGCCGTAAGAATGACAATTGTGCCGGGCCTGTGGTCGTTGGCACTTCTGGACATTTGTGCTTTTCGACGAATCCTCCGAACCTCAGTGACAGCATGGCTGGCCGTTTGGACCCAATCAATGCAGCGCCGGAATCCGGAACATCACGAACAAACTGCAAAGTCTCGGAGTGTGAGGAGGCGAAACGATCCGCAACACCTGCACCCAACACCGCCCCGCCGGACTGCTCATCATCTGGCGGAAACTCCAAGAACCATTGCAGTAAGACATCACCAGCAGCCACTGCAAAATCGCGCTGTGCGAGAAGGCAGAAAATCTTGGGCCGCCACGTAGTTCGCAGGCATTGGGGCTTGCGTTGAGATTGCCTGCTGTGATTCATCATGCTTCCTAGCAGGGCACGACGGATCAAGCCTTCTTGCTGGTGGACTTCAGCATTTGGCTGCCTCCACCTGGCTCGAGCGGGAGCATTTAGTGAACGATGTACGGGAAAGCTCTGGGCTCTTCCAGCATATTTTGCGAGCACGGCTCTCACGAGGCACCTTGTGAGAATAACGGCCGGGGCACGTTACTGCAGGTTGTGACACTTGTAGCACCGTCTGCTATACAGATACGCCGCCCGGCGTCTTGCCAACAGCTGTATCCGGAGATCATTAACATGTTCCGAGCGTCTTATGAGCGGGAGCCCATTAGATCCATCCGAAACGCTCGTTCAATCACTGTGAGGTGTTGAAGCTCACCTTGGCACAGATGGCATTGCAAACTGAAGCACGAACACATGTCAAGACAGAGTCCTTCCGACAGAGATAAGCACCCGGCCAGACTGGCATCACGAGGAAGAGTTGGCCTAAAATCTTCTCCGACCCGCAGCGCAGTCGTGCATTCCATGCATGATTTTCCAAACTCAGCCACCAGCAAGTCCATCAGACCCAGACCGGAGGACAGAATCTTCTGAAGTGATCCCTGTCAGGCTTCAGCGACCATGCTTGCGTGTTAGCATTACTCTGCCATCCCGCGCACAGCCTCCTTGGCCAAGACTGTGGTGACAACGATTGTAGCCAAGGCCAGTAGAAGGAAACCAGAGAGGAGGACCTATGCAAACGACAACGACCCTGCCCTAATGGATGCAATACTGTATGATGCAATAGTGTGTCGGTGTGCAGGGCCCCAACGACACCTTCCACCCTGTCCACCTTCCCGACCTCGGAATCGGCTCCGGAGACTGCGGCATGCTCCAACATGTTCCGGCTTTCCAAGACTCGGCCTCTGGCTGGGCGTTTCCGGGGCTCGTTGGCCCGGGTGTGCGCCCGGCTCCGGAGCGAGGTGCCCACCATGCGGAGTCTAAGTCTAAGTGCTCTCTAGATTCGCCACCGTTTGCTGCTTCTACCAGCTTCTGCTTCAGAGGCTGTTCCGTTGTCTTCAAAGCTGATGAGTCTGATGAATGCCAGTGGGCGGTCTCAGAGTCTCACCCCTCACCTCTGGTTCAGCAGTTCAAGCATACACATGTCGCAGCGTGCAATGAAGCGCCTCGCGAAGGCGATAGGGACCTGGCTTCTTCGCCTTACAATGCTTCGCAAAGCGTCGCAATGCTTCGCATGCTCTGACAGACAGAAAGCCCTCCAATGCGGAATCCCCCTCACGCGTCTCTGGCCGACAGTGAACCCTCCGTGCTTATGCGCACGGTTTTGCACTGCAGGCATCGCACTGTGCTGAGCTGTACTAGCAGAGTCGCTCGACGGTGTTCGCAGATTCTTATCTTAGCCACTGCTACGGAGTGAGTGGTGGAAAGATACGAGGGAGACGCACACACAAACGCAGACATGCAACCATTTTGCCTACACTTCTTCGAACCTTGCTGGTTGGACAAGGTGTCTTTTGGGCATGACCCGGCAAGCACACCTTTATCCTCGTTTAGAGCTGAAGACAGAATATGACATGATGCACATCGATTCCTCGAGAGTTGGATGAAGAGTTGGATGAAGCAGACACTGGAATCTGAGTTCACATGTCTAAGTGAGCCGTCACCTTATCGGAAAGCTCTGTTGTGACATGTCCAGCGGTCTTGATGAGAGTCGTTGACATGAGCATCTGGCCTTGTGCCGAATCATCTGCGCAAGCTGCCTGCTTGGAGCATCAGCGAGCGTCAGAGGGCAGCAGGGCCCTGCTATGTGCGGGGCCGGCTGTGCCTCCAAGGTCCGACATGGAGTGTTGTACTGCCACGGCGTCGACGCACGCTGCAGCGTCATGACCTGCAGTTCTGCGGCTAGGCTCAGCCGTCATTGTCACGCTTTCGCCTCAGGCTGCCGCATTGGGTAGAAAGCTCGGGGCATCCAGCGCAGTAATGTTGCGCAAAGCTTCTGTTGGGTCGTCCTGCCAGCTTGCGAGAGCTTGCGAGAGCCTTCAAGTCTTGCCTCAAGCGACCCTCCAAGTCCTTGGAGTTCTGAAGGCACAAATGGCCAAGGTAACCGAAGCGGGCCTCTGTGCGCATGGAGTGATAATTCGCCCCTGACCTCAGAGGTCCAGATTCCCCTCGAGTTGTGCACCTGTGAAGTGGGCAAGAACTTGGAGTTCACAGAACTCTTCTTCAGGCTTCGTCCCTCGGTTGCAGAATGTACGTGGTAAACCCAGCATACCAACAGCAGATCACGAAGCTACGTCCGCGACTTCTGGAGATCTGGAGCCAGAGATCTGCGCGCGCATGCAGCAAGCTTCAACGGACACGCAACTCACTTGGAGCCTCTGGCAGATTAGTTGACATCTGTGTGGATCCTGGGCAAGGAGATCGGACCTTCACTAGTTCCCACATGTTGTTTTGCTTTGGATTTGTTGCACGGTCGCTGTCCTGGAAAGCAGCCCACACGTCAGCTTCGTGCTTGATGGCTGGATATCTACATAGGTCTATGGCTCTGGGGACTCTCGCTTTTGAGCCCCTTGGCTAGCTGTGACAGCCAGCATCAACTTTGTGTGCACGTCGGCAAGTCTTGATCATGTCCATTCCCCCCCTATGGCCACAAACGTGAGTTTCGAGTCAGAAACTAAGGGAAAGCCATTCTGACAAAGGACAGTCACACAGCAAGTCTCTTCGAACTTCCTCCTGCCCAACCAGTGGACAAGCCGCTCACCGCCTAGCTTTTTTTGGGCAGAGTTGCCTGAATGATCACCATGGCACTTAAAGCAACAACCCATGCATGGCCCAAAAATAATCATGTTGACAATGCAACTCAGACCGCGATTCTGTGATCAGCTGTTGCTAACGGTAACGTCGTCAATCATTCACGTCATCTAACGACATTTTGGAGTCTTGGAGCGTTAAACGATGTTGAGTCAGCTTGATGATGGGATAGGATACTTGGACATCAGCTTGCTTTCCAGATTACACCCGGTTAGTTCGCGTTCTGATTGCCAAGATTGCCAGCACTGGGCCAGCTAGCAAGGTGACGGTGACGGTGACCGTGATGATGATGATGATGGTGATGATGATGACTTGGGCTCAACAACGGGATGCATTCTCAATCCATCAAGGCACGTGAAACACCAACGAGCTCGACAGCGGACAACTGAAGAAGTTCACGTGGGTAGTTTCGAAGCTAGGGGTATCTTGCGCGTACATGTTAACCACACTAGTGGTATATCATATTGGCATGCTGTATGTGACATCCCTTTTTCGCTGCACTCCACATGGTTACGGTCCAGATATACACCAGCACAGCTCGTGACGAGCTTGCTTCGGAAGTAGTTGTCGCTAATGAAAAGGAAACATGCGGTCACAGATTGCAGATTTCAAGGCGAGGGGGTACATTTCTGGTAACATGATCTGAGCAGCGCTTGCGCGAGTGATATCTGCAGCCTGTGCGAGAATCTGCGAGCAGGGGAACTCGGGAGACCTCCCACTAAGCTGAGGTTGGAGACAGCTCGTCCTGGGAGGCATCACCACCGGCATCCACCAGGTTGGCATAACCTGCACTGGACAAGCCATGCGGATACACATGTTCACGAACCATCACGGGATAGGGCCACGGCTTTTCTGCCACTCCTTGGATGGAATCAGACCCACGGGCCAAAAGTGGACCTGAGGGAAGCAGATTTGGAAGGATTAGCAGAATGCGGTCAGTTTCGCTTCTCGAGGCTGCCGGCACTGGTTTGTGGTGGGGCGCCGTACTTGGCAAGCTCTTGCATCACTTCCGCGGAAGGCTGGCCGTCGCGGGGGATTTGACAAACAGCTGCACAGATACTCGCATCCCTTCGCGTCCTCCGGAGGCTCACCTCCCGACAGCCTCAGGCGCGAAAACCGCCTTTCAATCTGGGCAGGCCCCCTGTGCATCCCGTGCATCACTCGCTTCTCAGGACCGATCCAAAGGTGCTGCAGACTCTGAGCCGCCTCCAATGCACAGCCGCACATTCATCGGCCCATGGGCTTCTCGGACCCTCTTGGAGCGCTGCTGTACCACGATTCCCCGGTGTAAGGGAGAGCAATTGCGCCACCAATTCTCTGCACGGAGCACTGACGTGGCACCAGTACCTGCAAGACAAGATCTTAGCGGCCTTAGCGCAATGGCGCCTGCAAGAGATCCCCTGCGCCTCTCGTCAAACTCGAGAGGGACGAAGCAGGAGGGCGGATCAAACGGCGCATACCCAGCCAGGAGCCTTTCTTTAGCCACGTGGGAGGGACAGGTGTTATCAGCCGTTGCAGTTGCCGGACACCTCCAAAGGATGAGGCCGATCCCAAAAAGGTCCAAGCTGAAGCTGTGGCCTCGGCGCTACACAGAGAACTCAGAGCCGGCGCTGGTTGCAAGATATCCGGGTTGCAGGCTCTGCTCTGCCAGCATCTCTGGAGCGAACCTCAGCTAAGGAGGTTTTGGGCTAGGACGAAGTGCTGCAAGAAGCTGAGCTTCGTTCCAGCCATGCGTCCCTTTCAACTCCCGATGGGTGAAAACTCCTCCAAGCCGAATGCAGCGAATCGACACTTCACTTGACTCACTTGACTGCTTTCGCAGACCTCCAGGCTGGTCTGGATGCTCTGCAAAGCCGAAATCACAGAGCTGAACGGCGAAACGACCATCTACTCCTTGCAAGCAGGTGAAGCGCGCGACGGCAATGACCTGTGGCTTGAAGCCGAGTAACTGAAGAGTAGGAAGTTGTGCGGCTTGATGTCACCGTGCAAGATATCTTGGCAGGTTATGAGCCATGAATATCAAGACCCGAGGCCCGCAACCCGAGCGGCTCGATCTGAGCCCGCTGCTGGCTGTGTGCACATGGTGCAGTGCACTCCTCGGCAGCGACTTTTGTGCGCATAGACGCACTGCAAATTATCGTAAGCTGTGCAGCCACGCCACAATAGCTGCTCGGTGCAATTCCTAACTTCCTTCTCGCAGTAGGTCTGCCCGTACCTGACACTAGCCATGCTGCGGGAATGGTCCCGCTCTCTCCAAGTGACCAAGTGCTTTGGGCACCGCATGAGCTCCCACAAATCACCATCTGAGGCATGGCAGTTGACGGAGAAGGAGACGCCGAAAATCAATCGGCACGCTTCGCCGGCCTGGTGTGTACGGGAAGACCAAGGTGATGGCGAAAGCCTGCTCCTTGCGAAGTGACGAGGCAAGACCGCTTCTATCAATCTTTTGGAGTCTCGTCCTCCGAGTACAAGAGCTCCAGGACATTCTTGTGACGTGGGACCGATGCGTGAATCTCTATCTCACAAGGGAGAGACGAGCTCACACGAAGCCCACGCCACAGATGAAAAGAGCAAAGTGCCTCACGCAGGGACTGCTTCAACTCCTTCTCGTTCTCGAACCTGCTTTTCAAAAGCGCCTGTGCCGGGATGCTTCTCTACCGATCTCTCAAGAATGAAGTTGCACCTTGATCGCGACTCGCAAGTTGGTCTTCTTCTCAACCTTCAGTCAGCTGGTTCCAACTCTGGGGGTGGTGCCAAGGAGCACACGATGCCAAAGGCTCAAGCTCCCAAAAGGATGCTGGATGCGAGACCGCGGTAGATTACCTGCGGATTCTCCGGCACGGCCTAGGTGACTGCAAGGTCCCTGATGTAAATTCAATGCTTCAGGAGACTGTCTGACTCGGTGCTGTGCAACACTTGGCATGGAGGTAGAATCACCGTGCCAGCGGTTATAGTAATTGTACCAGGGCCGCTGCAAACCTTTCGCATAGGCCCCCTTGAAGGATGGCCTGCAGGTGGGCACACAAGAGTCAAGAGGCTACAGTTGATCACACATCACAGCGAAGAAGGACACTCCTTCACTACGACAGTGCAAACTGCCTCGCGCTCGGCCGAAATCGATGCCATGCAAGCATCTGGATTCTGTAGCACAGGAGTCCCTGGAGAGAGGCTGCGATGTTTTCTATTGATTTCAGGAGACGTACCGCATAAGGTCAGAAGCCTGCTGGCAAGTGGGATTGAAGCACTTATTGAAGAGCCATGGTAATCCGATCATTCTGTAGCAGGTAGACACAGAGTCCGAATTGCCTGTCTTACCTTGCATGAAGCGGCTGTGGCAGGCGGTAGCGGGCCAGATGTTGTCACAGTCAGAGAAGGCCAAGTTCAGGTTCAGGTTCTCAGACAGGAGACTCTCGGTCAATAGCCCTTCCCCCCATATACTAAACCCTTTGAGACCCCTTTCAAAGAGGACCCAACACCTTGAAAAAACCTTTCCCATGCGACTTCTGCTGAGCACAGGCGAGGCCTCTCTCTCGCTCTCTCTCGTCGAGCGAAGCTGATCTGCTGCTCAGGAGCTGTGCTTCCTTAGCTTCCTTCTAGATAGAGAGGGTGAGGAGTATCCGTTGCATCTTGAGGCGAAAGGAAGCACAGCTCCACGATGTTCCTCGATGAACTAAGCCCATCTTGCCAGCTTGGTAATGCGAAGGGAAGAAACTTTCAACTCTGTGGCTTCTTGATCGCGCTTTAGACTCGACTATGCAAGGTGACCGGGCTTAGTCCAGTCGCGCGCCTTTCTGCACAAGCACGCGCCGCTCAGTGATTCCGACGCTGCTCCTGCACGAGCGCCTGCCACGAAGCAGCATCCCAACATGTCCCAGACCGAGGCATGAGGGCGGAGGGAGAGGGAGTGGGAGAGGTAGAGAGAGGGAGAGGGAGAGAGAGCAAGGGCGAGATCGAGAGCCAACCAAGCAAGAGCTACCAAGAGACGGAGGCACAGTAATCTCTACACAGGTTAGCCCTCCTCATGCTGCATCCCTGTTCTGGTTTCCCCCTTGCCTCCGGAGCCGCAGAGCCGCCAGCACGACGGTTGCAGGAACCGTCCCAGATGCGGCCATCTTAGAGTATTTTCTGCTGGGACGGTTCCTATGTTTCGGGGCTTCTCGCCCACTAGAAATGCCCACCTCTGGCCCAGCACAGAGGCACATGTGCTTTGCAAATGGAAGATAGAAACGGGTGTAGAGACTGTGTTATGCTTCGTTCTTGCACCCTGCATCATCTTGCATCATCGTGCATCCATGCTCTGCTCTTGTGGCGCGGAACACACTGTGACTCGGGGCACACGCCCGCACGCAATTGACATGGCCCGACTGAATGTATAGAAACGGCACTTAACGTCTGGGAAGCTGCCACCAAGTGTGTTTCGCACAGCTGCCTTGCCTTGAGGATCAGAGGTCGTTCGCACGATTGATGCTAGCCGTCGACCTTTACGGTTACGATAGTTTGTTCACTAAGATCAGAACAGATGCGGCTCATGCGTTTGCTAGGTCGGCGCCTCGCCGGCGCATGCTCTGTTGACCTCTTCCTCCTCT